AGGCATTGGGAGGGTTGGGAGGGGAGGTATATTGGGGTTCTTGGTGGTGAAAAATAAGTACTGGTGAAGGGAAATGTGTTTGATGATTGCATGACCGAGACTTAAACCTGAAAGCTTTGTCACTTTTCCCACAGTGATTCAATAAATAAATAAATTAATTAAAAAAAAAAAAAAGAAGCGCTCAGGATTTGCATCGCAAAGAGATGTGTTCTTCATGCCCAAGGCAATTTCATGGCTGGGCAATTTCTTCTAAAGTTTGTTATTTCTCAAAAATTTACACTATTTCCCCCCCTAGAGATTTCACCTTACATCTTTAGGAAGTCCCTGGGTGAAGGTCTGTTTTCTGTTAACTGCATGCTGACAAAGGGCACAGACCCTGCCTATGGGAGGCAGTGAAATCTCATGACTTAATATGAATGGGGTCCAGACAATGGGTTTCAAAGTTGTCAGTCGCAAAAATACACCAGATAAATTAGATAGCAATTAAAAAAAGTAATTAGACCTTGGAAGAGAAAAGCCTCCCCTGACCCACGAAGGGCAGAGTGTTTAAAGAAGCAGGAAGTGGGAAGTTGTTAGGCAGGGATGGAGGGGACTTTTGGAGACTGAGGCAAGAAGGAGTAGGAATGTGATTGGAGTGATATAGTACAGCCGGTAGGGAGTTTGCCTTGCACGCAGCCAACCCAGGTTCGATTCCCAGCATCCCATATGGTCCCTTGAGCACCGCCAGGTGTGATTCCTGAATGCAGAGCCAGGAGGAACCCCTGTGCATCGCCGGGTGTGACCCAAAAAGCCAAGAGTAGGAGTAGGGGTTCTAGAAATAAATGTTAGAGTTCCCAGGCCTGGCGACAGGCGTTTTTGGGACACAAGGTGGCACACTCTGCCCATTCCTCATCACACTCGAGGTGGCCTTCGCCCCAGACTGGGATCTGTGCTGTGTGACTGTTGCTACTGTTTTCTCCAGTCAAGGCTTGTGCTACTGGTGGCAGGATGGTGGGTTAGGAAAAAGAAGGAATCGCGTGCAGGCTCTAGCCCGTGCACTGGCTACTGTCCTTCTCTCGAATCTGCACCCCAGAGCAGCCACATCACCCACGTCAGAAAACTTCCAGCTCCGCTTAAGTGGATGCAGAAAATGGGAGTGTTGGTGGTGGTGTGAATAGACATTCCGGCCCACTCAGACTTGGAGAAGGGAAATAAACTCAGGCCCCAGGCTCGTCCAGAGAGCAGACCAGGAGCGACAGCACCAGAGACATTGCAGAGGGCTTCCCGCCGCCCTTCTGTCTCCACGGCTCTCCCAACCCACATTCACACCAAAGTTGTGTCCTGTTGCTAGATCTTACTCAGTTCTAGTCCCCGGAAGGGGTGTGGGGTGTGCAGAGAGGGACGGATGGTCAGTCCGGCTACTTACCTAAAACACCAGGACTCTGTTATTTCGACACCAGGGCTTGGTTTCTGCCAGCGGTGCCCCCTTACACCTCTGCTGGAAGGTGGTCTATTACCTGTGCAGCTGCGGTTCTACCCCAGCAGGGCTAGATTTGCCAACAGTGCTGGTGGCAGCGAGCAGCGTGCCCTACTGGGAAACTCTGATTCTATGCCCAGGTGACTTACCTTCGGATTTATGAATGTTTCTGCTTGTCAGATAAGCCAGGGAGTGAGCTGATGACTCCCCCCCACCCTTGCCCCCCTGATATGTAATTGTTTTATGGGCAACACTATTTTCCAGCATCTATTCAAGTGTTTTGCCAGAGGTCCTACAATTTAGGGAGTCTTCCAATTTAGCTCAACCTGACACTACTTACCCAGAGAGAGGATCAGGTCGCCATAAGCCTGTCGTTGACTCCGAGAGCATCAGGTGCCACATCTGTCCCTAACCCCCACTTCAAGTCTAGGCTGTTGCCAAGCTTCTGACCTACCGATATGACCTTCAGGTCCCCATGATCTCTTCTGGCTTTTGCTTTAGTTTGATGGAACTGCTCACAAAGGTCACAGCGGTTGGCTCTGAGAGGGCTTATTGTAAAGGGCGTGGATAAAAAATCCAGATCTCCAAGCAGGCTCGGAGTGGGACTGGGCCTCCCCCCCACCCCAAGTCCCCGGCTTTCCAGTCGCTTGGCAGTCACACCCACAAACTGCCCCCAGCACCATGAAATCTCATCAGCGGCCAAAACTCAGAGACTATAAACTAAAGCTCCCGGAAGTGAACGACACAGAGTTTCCTGGACATTATATTCCATCCATAACAAGCAATACAAAACAAGTTGTCTAGCATTGCCTTTTCGGGAGGTTTGAGTGGTGGTGGGACTGGTGTCAAAATATCAAAAATAACCAAAGTAGAGAGAGAGCATGGGGGAAATTCTCTGCCATGCAGGCAGGGGAAGGGTTGGAACGAGTGTGTGTGTAGGGAATACTAGGGATTTTGGTGGTGGAAAACGTGCACTGGTGGAGGGATGGGTGTTTAATGATTGTATGACGGAAGCTCAAACATGACAACTTTGTCACTATCTCACGGTGACTCAATAGAAAAGGGAGAAAATAATAAAATAAAATTAACATTCTGATAAAAAAAAGTAATGTGGAGTTTATGCCCAATTCAATCAGCTTAATCAATGGCTGAATAAATAGCAGTACTCCTACATTTAAAAATAAGGGATGTGGAAGGGATATGTAGGGTAAGATATATGAATCACAGCATTAGAACAGAAACACTACAATCTGCCAGCAAAAATCAAGGATTTAGGAACTCTGTTTCAAGAACAAGGTCAAAGACTCCTGGTACTTTTTGTTTGTTTTGATTTTGGTGTTTGGCCATGCATGGTGGTGCTCAGGGCTTACTCCTGACTCTGCTCAGGGATCACCCCGGTAAGCTCAGGGAATCATATGGGATGCCGGAGAGGGAGTCTGGGTCTGCCATGTGCAAGGGAAGTGCCCTATCTGCTGCGCTGTTTCTTCGACCCCAACCCTAGCTCTCCTATGGTTTAGGAAACTACTTAGATGATCTGTGCCCAGAATCAGGACAGATACACAGACTTTCCCTGCCTCTGATCTCGCACTCTTCTTCATGATTGCAATGCCTTTAGGATTCATGTCAATGTGAAGTAGCTAGACAGGTAAAGAGAAAAAGTGGGGCCAGTTGTACATATTATTCTTATCTGGAGAAGCTAAACCATCAAGAACTCACCTCCCTCCCTGATCAAAAGACTCACCTCCCTCCCTTTTCAGGAATAACCCAACTTTAGCCTAAGGTGTATATATATTTCACTTCCTTCTTACTTTGTGAGACACACGTGCTCACAAACACACATTGTGTGTGTCTCTAGCTCTAGAAAGTATGAGGAGAAAAAGAGAGAGAGGGAGGAGGGAAGGGAAGGAGAGAGAGAGAGAGAGAAGAGAAACAACAACTTTGGCTTCATTTCCAGAATGGTGTCACCGTCCATGAGTAATATCTGCCTCTGCATTTGTGTTTCTCCTTCCCAGACTCTCCCTGTTGACCTCCTTCCACCCCATTTCCCTCTTTGTTTGGAAGAGGTAGCAGTGAAAAAGTGAGAATGTGCAATTTGTTTCAGAAAACAGAGTTGCTTTATGAGAAGTCCTAGACATGCGATGAGTGCGGAAGACGATCACAACAGGAACAGGAAACAGGTATATAAGCAGATGGGATGAGCGGACGACACCGGGTTTTATCCTGTGGATTAATTTCAGGTCACTTTTGCCAAAGACAGAACTACTTTTTGTTGTTGTTGTCGCCCCCCCAGACCCAGCCATCTATTCAATACTGCATCACTTTCCCAGCGCTCTGGGGCTCCCAATGGGGACCATTAGTAAACACATCAGCACTCAATAGTACAAGAAAGTCAGAGACGGGCATTTCACAAGGATGCCCTTAAAATGTAAAGTTCTGACAGTTTCCTTTTCTATTCTTTGTTTTTTGTTTATTTTTAATTGAACCACCATAGATACACAATTAGAAAGTTGTTCATGATTGGGTTACAGTCATACAATATTCTAAAACCTGTCCCTTCACCAGTGTCCATTTCCCACCACCAGTGTCCCCAATTTCCCTCCCTTCACTTCTGTCATCTCTGCCAGGCTTGCCTTTATGGCAGAACTCTCTCTCTTTCTCTCTCTCTCTCTGTCTCTCTCCCCCTCCCTCCCTCTCTCCCTCCCTCCCTCCCTCCCTCCCTCTCTCTCCCTTTCTCTCTCCCTCTCTCCACCTCCCTCTCTCTTTTTCCCTCCCTCCCTCTGTTTCTCTCTCCCTCTCTCCTTCCCTCCTTCTCTTGCCCTCTCTCTCTCCCTCTCTCCATCTCCCTCCCTCTCTCCATCTCCCTCCCTCCCTCCCTCCCTCCCTCCCTCCCTCCCTCCCTCCCTCCCTCCCTCTCTTCCTGTTTCTCTGTCTTCCCCCCTCCCTCTGTCTCTGTCTCTGCCTCTCTGTCTGTCTTTGTCTCTCTCTGTCTCTGTCTCTCTCTGTCTCTTTCTCTTTCTTCCCTTTTAGGCATTCTGGTTTGCAATACAGGCACTGAAAGGTCATCATGTATATCCCATATCCCTTTACGCCCTTTCAGCACTCAGTTCATGTCCAGAGTACTCATTTCCAATTCTCATGAGATAGAACTAATCTTGTTGCTACAGAAGTGATGTGCCACAGACACTAGATTGTTATTGATCACCGAATCACAGGCATCATATGAAAAGTAAAGTTTATTTTCATGTCTACGGGTTAAAAAACATAGAAATGTTTTTGAGACATTCATCAATGATCTTTATTTCATCAACGCCTCGCCAATGTTAGATAGACCGCACATTCTTAACGAACTTCCCCCATCAGAAGCCACTGGAGCTTGAGTCCAGGTTCATGCCATGACAACGGGAATAGCGACAACTCAGCAGGAGGCCAGGTGGCAGAGTCTTTGCTCCGTCCTCCATCTGCTCTGCTGTTAGACCTCCCTCCTGTCCCACCAAGTCTCTGATGATGGGACTTGAGCCCTCACCCTTCTGGGACCTTCCTGCCACTAGTCACCGTCACTCTCACTTGAACTGCTGCTGTCGGATGATGATTCGCTGCTGTCGGGCTTTCTAGGGCTGCCGAGTCTATTGGAGAAGGGTTTTCTGTCAGCCCAGGAGCCTTTCCTTTGTGACATCGCCTTATACTGAGTATTTCTCCTATGTTGTCCCTCGTGACTTTTCCTGCTATGTGTTATCAGAGCCCCCTCGCTCTTGGGACCATTCTGGGAAACAATTTCATTCTCAGTTCCGGGAGAAGGAAGGAGGGGGTCTTGACTTTTGCTCTTACTAGAAAGTTCTTGCTTTTCCCTTGAGATCGCTTGATTCTTACTAGAATATTTCATCTCTTTTGTACGACTCCCTTTGCCCTGTTTTGGAATTTCATTGTAATTAGGAATCTCATCTACGTTCCTACTGCCTTCCTTTCTTCTATCGTTTGAGAATGTTTGGGGATAATGGAACTCAGCTTTCCCTCCGTGAGCATTCTGACTGCTGGCATCCACTCTCTGTCCTTCCTTTCCGGGCAATTCCTTGAAGTTGGTGATACCTATGATGTCATTGGTGCTCTCTGCTAGGCTCACACCAGTCACATCGGCCTCTTTTCCTGCCTTAATTCCAGTGGAACTGCTCCCATTTTCTTCCTTCTCTGGAAGCTCATTGTAACGTGGGCCTTTTGCATCAGGATTGATAAACTCTGTTTGAATGTTGCCATCTTCTGGGCCAGAAATAATAGCTCCTTCTTTGCCAAGAATGTCCTTGAAAGGTTGGCCATCTCCACTGAAAGGGAAGAGATGATCCACTTTCTCTTGAATATCTGTGTGTCCACTGCCCTCAAAATCACTAGGGATGTTTTTCACTCGGGAGAGTTCTGTAAGATAGTCAGTGCTGGGAGGAAAATGGTAAGTGATTTTGCTTCTGACAGGATTATTTTGGGTTGGGAAGTTTCTTTGATAATTTTTCTTATGGTTTGATGGGGCTTTTTCATCATTCATATATGCTGGGATTTTGCTTAGAGTGTTTCTGGGTTTATTCATTTTGATTTCTTCCCCCAAGAGTTCCCTCAAAATAACCTGCCCTATTGTCTGCTGACCATTATTTTGGATGAGAGCTGCAGTGGATTCTTTGAGGTCGTGGGCTTCTCTGATCGCAGAGGATTCGGGATTCATAGACATCTTTAGGTCACTGTGGCCATTTACTTCATTGCTAATGAGATAGTCTTCATTCGTTGTCAGTCTGCTTTCCAAAAGATTTTGGGATTTGCTACCTTGCTTATTTTCAGTGGCTCTGAAATCCGACAAATCTCTCTCTCTTTCTTGGCCGTTGCTTTTATTTGGCGTCAGCTCTTGAGTTTTTCTCTTGCCAAAATGGTGCACAGCAGCAATTTTGTCTTTGATGTTTTCTTCCTGTGAACACAGAATTTTCAACATAAAGCCATGATTTAATGTTAAGATTTTAGAAATGTAATAATCCTCAAGCATTATTTAAAATCATAACTACCAGATACTTAATTTTAAAAGTGTATTAACTCAACAGAGGTTTGTTAGTAGATATAATTCCTAACTCGCTAAAGCAGTTTCATTAAGAAGAATGAGCAAGGTAAGATTCAGAATCTTAGAAGAAGATGGATGAGATTGTTGTAAGAGGAACTGCCATATTAAAGTGTTCAGAAACATTAAACATTTAAAAGTTAATCTGAAGGAAAATTTACGGTTAGTGAAATCATAAAAGCAAAAAAATTAAACTGGAACGATAGATTAGGGACTCATTTTGAAGCCCTGTAGCACTGTCCTCCTGTTGTTCATCGATTTTCTTGAGCGGGCCCAGTAACGTCTCCATTGTGAAGCTTGTTGTTACTGTGTTTGGCATATCGAATACGTCATGGGGAGCTTGCCAGGCTTTGCCGTGCGGGCGAGATACTCTCGGTAGCTTGCCGGGCTCTCCGAGAGGGGCGGAAGAATCGAACTCGGGTCAACCATGTTGGCCGCATGCAAGGCAAACACCCTACCACTGTGCTATCGCTCCAGCCCTCATTTTGAAATACAGCCTTAATCTGAGGTCAGATGTGGCGCTCATCTGTAATGATGACCCCTGATCTTATGTTCATGACCCCTGATCTTATGTTGTCTAAAAACATTACTTTTTAATTGAAAATTTTCTTTCTCATTTTCAAATAATATTGTTCTACTTGGAAGAACACTTTTATACATATGCCAGAGTAGTGTTGGAAGAATGATAAAATGTGGAGATACCCTAGATTTTAAGATATAAAGAAGGTACAGCTATGAAGAATGCTCTTAGTTCTGAAAAAAAAAATCTCATGAGTTTGTAGTATGCAAAAGCTCTAAGTTATAATGTTTTTAAGATATAATTTGAACTTATTTGAGGAGGTTGTGATATTATTGCTTAATCTTTTGTATTGGGAAGTTTATGCTGCAAATCAATAATAGTTTTCTTTGGGAAAAACTGTAGTAGAGAAACTTTATCGTGGGGCCAGAGGGACGTAACAGAAGGGTAGGTTCTTGCGTTGCACACAACTGACCCGGGTTCAATCTTTGTCACCATGTATGATTCTCTGAGCCTTGCCAAGAGTGATCCCTGAGCAAGAGCACAGAGAAATCTCTGAATATCACCACTGTGGCCCTCAAAAAGTAAAAAGACAAATTTTTGTGAGCTATTTCTGAATTTAGTGTGTTAAACTCTATTTTAAGATTTTAAATCTGGAAAATCTACACAGGATTTATATTTTCCTTTGTAATTAAGCTCATTTATTCATTGTGAATATAACATTTTGATAAAAATGCATTTGAAAAATAAGTAGATTATAATTTATGCATTCTAATTATTTCTTCCTATTCTAGATAGCAGTTTTGTTTGATATCTGGTGCTTTTACTTCTTAATGAATGACACATATATTAATGAACTGTGTGCATTTCAGTCATCATCATCACAGTCCTCCCGTTGTTCATCGATTTGCTCGAGCGGGCCCAGTAACGTCTCCATCATGAGACTTGTTACTGTGTTTGGCATACTGAACACGTCATGGGTAGCTTGCCAGGCTCTGCCGTGCATTTCAGTAAGAGCTATAAAAAGGTCCTTTACAAATGAAAACATTAAGTGATTTTTAAACTGAAGCATGTTATGGTTAATACTTTTTTCACTTGGTTATGCGAAATTCTTTCTTTCTTTTATTTTTTCAAACCAAATTTGCATTTTATTTAGGTTGAAATAAGCTATGCAAAATTGATTTTTATTAACCCCAATAACAGCAATATTTTTACATTATTGCTGGAATGCTGGATGATTTCTGACTATATTGCTGAATTGAGCATCAATTCTTTGAAGATGGTCCCTCTAGTAGCTGACTCCTGTTCTCTGCTTTTTCATCCTTCCCCACCCTGTCCTTGGCTGATGGTCTCTGCATGGGGAATGGTTCCTTCTACTCTCTGGTATGATTAAATCCTATTCATTTCCCCAAGACCCAGCTTAATTATTTCCATTATGAAATTCTCCCTGAATATCTGATTAGGAGCGGCTTCACATTCTAAGCCCTAAAATATGATGATGCTTTGTACCATCCACAGAACACTTTGCACATTCAGTCTTGAGTTATAGTGGAGTTTTGTGTATGCCTTGTGTTTCTTTTTTTCCCTGGAGATGCTGGAGAGAAGAGTCAAGTTTTCTCAATCGTTTTATTTAACATAGCATTTTGCAGAACAGAGAGAGCAGATCAACACATCTTTATTTTAACTACGATGTGATGAACAATGGGAGGACACTGACAGTGACAGTTTTAACTTACTTGAAGTCACAACTAAGTTTAACTGGCAGAGACACATCTAAAGACTATTGAGCAGAACAACAAGAAGAAATTAGACAGGAAACTACTACTGTGGTGCGAAGCCAAATTGGGAAAAGGAAGTAGTCGTTTTGCTGATGACATTTAAAACTGTTTCCAATTCTTTGCCCAATGAGTCCGGAGGAAGGACCCAGTGAAAAGAACTATTGTCCCATCCTGCGACAAAGCCCTTATTCTGTTTGCAGTGGACATCCTGACACCGAGGGAGTCATCTGTGGAATGCATTTAACAGACACCAACATAAGTCACTCTTTAGGTCTAGTGACTGCATGTCCTGCCAACGGCGTTCAGGGTTGAACGTGCAGAGAAATCCTCCTTAAGAAAGCCCAGAAGTTATTCAGAAGCAGCAGTACGAAATGCACCTGTGACTCCAGCACCGCAGATCCTGAATGAAACTCAGTAGATACTGGCCAGTGTGTTGGGGGGGGGGGGCTGCCTGTCCCAGCCAGGGGGACTCTGAAACTCAGAGTTCCCGGAAGAGAATTGCGGGAGGAAGGACAGCCACCAGCGACACTTGGGAACTGTGGAGCAGGCCACAGGGAAGCTGTCTTTCCTCATTTTCCCTGCAGCTGGACCTGGGTTTGGCTCATCCGAAGCATTACTGCTATGAGACTCGGCTTACCTTTATGTCCGTTTTGGTATTTTTGTGCCAGATGTTAACGGGAACACACTCAGAAATAGGATAACCATGCCTTTTCATGGTGGACCTTGTACATTATGTACAAAAACGTAGCGTTAAGGTGGTGTCATCTCTTACTAATTGGTTTCTGGCTCTCTGTGAAAGTTTTAATTTCCCCAAAGTCTACTTCTGTCTCTCCTGATTGCTAGTACTTCTTCCAACCACAGGAGGGCAGATGCCAACCAGAAGATCCCAACTCATTCCCTATCTCCCGCCCTCGGATTATGTTTTCCTCAGAAGGGTTTAACAGAGCTCTCTCCCGGGGTGCATTGCTTTTATTACCAAATATCAACTGAAATGGTGCACCTGAATTTTATTTTTTTTTATATGAGAGCAGGTGGGAGAAAAAGGTGGATTTTACAGTATTCATGGCTGGTGTCAGAAGCTGGCAAAACTCACAATGTGGACCATCAGGCATGTACGTTTGCAAATTTTGCCTTGGTCATCTGCATCTCAGATCAAGAGCAGGAGGTTAATAGCTATTAGAATTTTCTCAGACTGCCAGGAGAACTCTGGTCGGCTGCAATTTAGTGATCAGAAAAGCTGAGGGCACTTGTTTAACTCCTTGGATGCTCGTGGAAAGCCAAGGCTATGTCAACATTACAGCCCACTGAGACTTGCCTTAACTTTCTTCTTCATTTGTTGTTTTGTTCTCACCTACATGTATGGAAACATAATATTTGCTAGTAGAAGTTTCCAGAATTCATACTCACTTCTCTTTCTGAAGGAAGAAACCAGATTTGAAGAGAAGCATATTATTCGTAATACTTTTTTTTTTTGGTTTCATACCCTGTGGATTTTGCACCAAGATTATGTTGCATAACTCTGCATTTATGAGCCATTCAAAGAAAACAAGGACATTTTCACAGTCAAAATTTTCCTCTTACTGACTTTTTTTTTCAGAGTTAAAATAGATTTATTTGAGAGAATAATTCTGTTTACCCTTTGTTCGTCCATGAAGTCTTGCTTCATCTTTTCACCCTGTGGTTGAAATGTCTAAAAGGAAACAAGAAATAAAGTCTCACCAAACAGTCATTTTTTTTTCATGAATTTCTTCAAACAACAAATATTTCATATAGTTTTGCCATCCTGGGTTGTATTAATCATTGTAGAAAATCATTCTGAACAAACGAAGATGGGCACATTCATTAATATTTATTTCAGCATTACAAAGGCAAATCATAAACCATAAGAAGAAATCCTTCAACCCTGAAGTAGCCCCAAGGCACGAAGACCACATCCCTTTGAAATGCAAATCATGAGCTCTTTGGAGTGGTAAAACTGAGGCACACCCCAGGGGCGGAAACAGAGGCTCCAACAGGAGAAGCTAACAGAGTCCCTAAAGCTGTGATAAGAATATGCAAGGACCAGGACCACCAACGTGGCAGGTGACAAAGTGCCCAGAATTAACTTTTCACCGCCCCCCCCCCCCCCCACGCAGGTATTTTATTTAAACACTGTGGCTTACAAAGTTGTTCGTGATGATTTGTTCCAGGCATTCAAATACTCCAACACCAACACCACCAACACCAGTGTCAACTTCCCTTCTCCATTGTCTCCAATTTTCCCAGCCACCCCCCATAGCAGGCTCACAAGAATTTGTTTCATATTACTTGTTACCAATAAATTGCTAACTGAAGGATACAAAAACTTTCCTTTGAAGGAAATTAGTGAGCATTGTTGCACCGTACATCGGAAGCATCAAGTCCTTAGGTGAGGGATTACTGCTAAAATGTTGTTACAAGTTAAGCCTTCTGCTGTGCAGAATTAACTTTTCTGTATGTGGAGAACTTCCGGTCAAGATAATTTCACAGTCAAAAATTTCCTCTTACATTTTTTTTTACAGAGTTGAAATAGAGATATTTGAGAGAATAATTCTGTTTTCCCTCTGTTCTTCCATGCAGTCTTGCTTCATCTTTTCATGCTCCCAAAAACCTCCCCAAAGCCACGCTAGCCTGGCTCCCTTGTTTTTACCTCCAAGACTGTGTTCCCTCCTGAACATGTTTGTCTCTATCTTTCTCTGTCTCTCTGTCTTTCTTTGTCTCTTTCCGACTCTCTCTGTCTCTCTCTGTGTCTCTGTCTCTCTCTTTCTCTCTGTCTCTGCTTTTTCATTCCGTAGAAGTCCCTATTCTCTCTTGAACACATGTTCCTAATTTCCCTTCCCCTCACATCTTTCCCTCTCTGAATTTCTTCCAATAAGAACTATTTTTTTGTGAGTCTATGTAAACCTTTATTGTAATGTAGATTTATTTCTCTTCTTTCTTTCTTTCTTTCTTTCTTTCTTTCTTTCTTTTAAAATTTTTATTAGTGAAACACCATGAGGTACAGTTGCAGACTTACAAATTTATCAGCAAGGTCAAAGAAGGAAATCACATACAAAGGAGCACCCCTTAGATTCACAGCAGACCTATCGGAGGAAACCCTCCAAGCCCGAAGGCAATGGTGGAATATAGTGAAAAAACTGAAACCCAATAAGAACTATTTTGCTGACACTCACATCCCACTGCGCAACCACACCAAGGACTCAACTTCACTTCACAGATACTCTCTGCAGAGACGCCATGCTGAGAGTTCTTTCAGGTGCCCTATGTCCAGGCTGAGAACTCTGGTATTATTTATTCGAGGTGAGAGGAGGCAGCGTCCCCCAACCCCCCCACCCCTGTATACCAAGCCTCAGCAGTCACACCTACCTCCCAAAGCCACCACCATGTCAACTCATTGGCCCAGACCATAGATCCTGAAGTCTTTGGACACCTCCTAATTTCTCAGTACTGACATCCCAGTAGGAGCACAGCCCATTAGATGGGGCAGTAACATAGAGGCCAACTAAACTCAAAAAAGCAGAAACAATAACACAGAAGGCTCAACCAGCAACACACGGCTTAGTAAATTCTTAGAAACCTATGAATTCGACAACCCTCTGATCAGATATAACAATTTTCACACATCAACTAATTTTTGTTTATTTTTTATTTATTTTTTTTTTGCTTTTTGGGTCATGCCCGGCGATGCACAGGGGTTACTCCTGGCTCTGCACTCAGAAATTACTCCTGGCGGTGCTCAGGGGACCATCTCGGATGCTGGGAATCAAACCCGGGTTGGCCGCGTGCAAGGCAAACACCCTCCCGGCTGTGTTATCGCTCCAGCCCCTCAACTAATTTCTTAATACTTACTGATTTTAATAGTAGAGCTTTGTTACCTAATCAATTTTAATTCTAGAATTGTATCAACTGTTGTGGCTTTTCTTCTATGTTAAAAACCACCCGCCCATTTTGCTTCACGAGTTTGCCTCCTCCTGAAATTCTTTGCGTCAAGGTGAGGTGATGGCCCAGAACGCTCTAGCCAAGGCTAGGACCGACTTTCCTTTTCTGCTGGTCTAAGGGAGTTTGGCCAGACACAGATGAGCACTGTTCAGGCTGAATTAGGAGTCTTTATTACAGAAGCAGACTACTGTCCCAGGGAATTCACGACCCTCGGGCAGTCAGGATGAGTTTGTAAAAGCAAAAATCACACCCCAGTCAGGCAATGGATTCCGTGGGTAAGGGACTGTAGCAGTTGTGATGAGCAGAACAGGTTTCAGAAGCAAAGCAAGCAGTCACTGGTTAAGCTGGCTTCCGGTCAGGGATACTTGTGGTTATGGGGGACAATTACCATATTGGGGGCAGTGGTTCCCGGAACTGAACACTTCATTTATGGGCTGTGCTTGTTAATGGGTCACATGGGACCTTTGGAACAATGCAGAGAGTCCCCTTTCTGCTGATGGAGTACCTGATACCAGGAGCCCTAGCTCTCAGACACACACACACACACACACACACACACACACACACACGCGGGGGCTGGAGCAATAGCACAGCGGGTAGGGCTTTTGCCTTGCACATGGCCAACCCGAGTTCGATTCCTCCGCCCCTCTTGGAGAACCCTGCAAGCTACCAAGAGTATCTCCCCCGCAGGGCAAAGCCTGGCAAGTTACCCGTGATGTATTCCATATGCCAAACACAGTAACAACAAGTCTCACGATGGAGACGTTACTGGGCCCGCTCAAGCAAATTGATGAACAGCGGAAGAACAGTGCTACAGCATTACAGTGCAGCCCCCGGAAAGAGGCCTCCTCACTCCAGCCTGAATCCGTGACTCCGGGAACACAGATGCCAGGGAGCATTGTTCTCCCTCATTGGCAGAACAAACCGACTGCAGGCGCGGCTTGACGGCTGCCCCGTGCCAAGTAGATGTTGGGAGCAGAGTTTCCCAGTCCTGACCCATGCCGGGCATTTCCGCAGGTGGCCGAGGGCCCAAGCAGAGAGGTGGGAACACTTCTTGTCAAAGCTACAGCCTTTGCTCCCCATTTCACCAAGTCACTGCAACTCGGGTGAAGAACCAGGAGTCGGGGGCTCTGTGCAGAATTTGTAAGGTCCCAGGAACCCCATTGCTTCTCGTGAAAGTCACCTCCCCCACACCTCACATGATAAAACCAGCTTTGCACCCACCACCTTTGCATCCCGTTCTACTTGAGATGCATCATCCCTATGCTTGATTTTATTTATTTAATTTTTTTTGGGGGGGGTGGTTGGGTCACACCCGGCTATGCACAGGGGTTACTCAGGAATTGCTCCTGGCGGTGCTCAGGAGACCTTATGGGATGCTGGGAATCGAACCCAGGTCGGCCACGTGCAAGGCAAGCACCCTCCCCCCTGTGCTGTCGCTCCAGCCCCATCCCTGTTCATTCGCAGTTCTCACTTCTCTCATATTTTGACAATAAGGCAATTTTACTTCACTTTCTGTTTTCTCCCAAAATCCATTAATGTGGGCTAAAGGCAAGAGCCTGAATCCAGGGACTGTTTCTTTGACCTCCTTTTCCTCCCTGGGAACACTCACTGCTGACAAGACATGGGTGGTTCAAGGTCAGTCATTGACCTACTAGTCACACACGATGGAGCGTTATCCAGCCAGAGCCATGCCGTAATAGCTCTGTACACCCCCAGTCAGACTTTGCTGCCAGTCTCTGAGGCAGGTGTTTCTTTCAGAGGAAAGAAAGTAGGGTGGCTTGGCAAAGATTTTCTCTTGACTGGACTTGAAACCTATCTGAAGGGTGTCAGAGGGTGAGAGATAGCTCTTAAAGTAGAGAAACATGCAACTAAGAAGGACAAGATCTAAGCAGCTTCTTCTGGTCTTTTTCGCTCGAATTTAGGTGAAACGAACATGATGGCTGCTCAGCACCTCTATTGCGAACCTCAACACCCCAAAGGAGAGAAAGAGCAAAAGGAACTGCCCGGCCACAGAGGTGGGGTGGGGTGGAGGGGATAGGGTAGGGATGGTGGGAGGGATGCTGGGACCATTGGTGGTGGGAAATGGGCACAGTTGGAGGGATGGGTACTCGATCATTGTATGACTGCATGCAAGCATGCAAGTTTGTAAGCCTGTAACTGTACCTCACGGTGATTCACTATAAATAAATAAAATAAAATTTACCCTTGGGCTAAGACAAAGATGAGAGATATTTCAAGCTGGAGAAAAAAAACACAAAACTAAATAGAAAGAAAGAATAATTTTCTTTCTGAGAGGAATGAACAAAGGATACTTCTAAAATGAAGCTTATGCAAACTTAGTGAATTATATATAGATTTGCATGTTTTCTTTAAGGAATCCAAAGTCCTATTTAAAGAGCCCCTTAGAATTCCTAGTTTCTCTGTATGTATTATAGGACATAAGAAACTTAGCTTTTGTGTATATTTACTTCTTGCTATCTGGAAATTTTATTAACAGTACTCATTTTAAACAGGAGAGTATTTAAAAAAATTTAAGGGTTACAGGAGAGTGTGTAGAAGATGACCTCAGAAGTCAGAAGCCAGATGCCCAGAGAAGGAGCAGACGTGAGAACTCCTTCACTCTCAGGAATAAACGTTCCTTTATTTTTATTTTTCTGTGTATTCTGTAAACTCTTTGCTTGTTTTAGATGGGGTGAGGGGAGTCAGAGAGTAGGTTATAGATAGCTATTTTAGCCAAAGAAAGAAAAGACAGAGTTGGGTATTTGCATCACCTTACAGATTACTCACATACACATTCACTTTTACAAATATATTACAAACCTACTTGATTATATAAAGTGCTTTAATAGCATTTATGTTAAAGAAATCTGAATTTGGGGCTGGAGCAATAGCACAGCGGGTAGGGCGTTTGCCTTGCATGCAGCCGACCCGGATTCGATTCTCAGCATCCCATGTGGTTCCCTGAGCACTGCCAAGGGTAATTCCTGAGTGCAGAACCAGGAGTAACCCCTGTGCATCGCCGGGTGTGACCAAAAAAAAAAAAAAAGCAAAAAAAAAAAATCTGAATTTACAACTAGGTCATTTATAACAAGTTCTTGCTGGTCTAATTGCATATTGATGAATATTCAGTGAATTGCTTAGACCAGTAGTCATTTTTTATTTTGTTCTATTTTAAAATTTTTAAAGCAAATTAGAATGTCAAATATACCTATTAACATAAAAATTATATTCAGCTGAAGTCAATTAAGAGTTAGTAAACGTGAAAAAGCACCCTGTCCTCTCCTGTCAGATGGCAAAGAAAAGGAGTTTTGATTAAGCAGCTCCCAAAATGATGCCAGAGAAATCTTAGAATAAAACTTATTAAACTAAGCTTTCTCCTCTAGATAAGGAATGCCTAGAACAACTCAAACAGTCTCTAAACTTTTACCTTTTCAATTCTTTAGTTGTTTATCTAAAAGGAATATAATCTTTCTCTTCTGGCCACTTCTGATCTTCTTTGTGAACATGATAGATGATGTGCAAATTTAATGAAATTTTAATATTTTTCTCCTGTTACTTTGACTCAGTTAATTTAATTTCCAGACTCACCCAGGCACTCAGAGGGGAGTTAAGGAAAACTTTCTCCCCCGTACAATTTGAATATGGATTAAAATCCCCAAACTTATGTAAGTGGTTGAGTTTGTATTTCTTCCCAGTACAACCAAATCTATTATTGAATTTGATGATTCCTCAAACGGAATCTATATATCTGGAGGGAAACATCTCGTACACCCCAAAGTTTGTCTCCGTGTCCTGCTGATCCTCTTTCATTCGGAATCTGCGTCCCTCCTACTTCCCTCACGTCCACTGGGCAATGTTCCTGTACCTGAATGTGGCATTGGGATGAAGATGGCATTGCCTCATTCTGGGGGGAAAATGTTGGCACCAACGTTAACCAGTGGTCAGTGGCTTGATGTGACATGGCACATTTACTGGAAACTGGTTGGGGAATGTCACTCTGGTTTGGAATGTGTTGTTCAAAATAGAACTGTCCTCAGCTGGTGGGATTGAGCTTGGTCAGCAAGACCCATTCTCTTTCCACTTTGCCTAAGCACATGCCTTGCTGGCCATGGGGATATTTCATGTCATGCAGTCCCACTGTGTGGGCGGTACTATCACTTGGGGCCTGATTTTCTCAACTTTTCCTCAACTATGACAAGCTTAGACCATGCTTGCCAGTGGGTTACCCAACTGGCCACCCACTCACCCAGGACCTGTATTTAAGAACTGGAAACAGAATGAGCACTTGTTTCCACGGTTCTCCAACTGAAAAAGGCTCTCTGAGAAGTTAGGATGTTTTGCAGACATTATCTAATTAGTACTCTGCATTGCTGGAACTTTGTGTAACACTCAGCATTTTCACAAGATAATTTGGTCACATCCTCTACTCATCTGAGTGAGTCAGAGGGAAGGAAAGACACAAAAGCAAACTGGAGTTGGAGTTTGTTAAGCTGAGGATTATCAAGTCCCATGAGAATTTCATTGATGAAGACATCATTACTAGGATCCCACAGTGTTGGGAGTTTTGCAAAAAAAAAATTGCAGAAAGGTCCTCATCTCTTTGCTTTGCCATCTTGTTGACAATCTAATAAAACATTTTCATCCAATTTCTCATTTTGGGGAAACTATTGAAAAGCTCTTTCAAAATGTTGAAATTTGAGTCTGGCAGCACTATTCAATAGCAGTAGCTGATATGAAAAACTGCGGCTAGCTAGTGAATTTCCCCCAAATGCTCTTGGTATTTCTTCTAAAACCAAGTGGTCACAATTTGTGATTCAGTACGTACGATCACGATCACGACCATCCTGTTGTTCGTCGATTGCCTCGAGCAGGCCCCAGTAACGTCTGCTTCATCCTAGCCCTGAGATTTTTAAAAAAGTGCCATACTGAAGGCTCTTTCAGGGTTAGGAGAATGAGACCCATCATTGTTACTGGTATTTGGCATATTGGGTACGCCACGGGGAGTTTGCCAGACTCTGCCGTGTGGGCAGGCTACATTCGGTAGCCTGCCAGTTTGTCCAAAGTAGGAATGAGATAATAAGATGTCTCTTCCAGGAGCTGGGTTTTATAGTCCCTGAGTCTTGGCCGTTGATGGGATTACACGGCTCCAGGGGGCCAGTTGGTGGGTGTGACCCCTGCCTACTGGAATTTGGAGGATCTGGGTGGAGGATGCTCAGCCCCGATCCCAGCAGGCTTGGAGATCTCAGCCCCGGGATCCGCATGCCTTTGTTCCTCTGCCGGTAGCTTCATGCATGTGGAGAGTGGTCTCAGCATGGTGGTGGCTGGTTCTGGAGGTCTTTGACTGCTGGAGCCCTGGTTGGGGCGGGGAGGGAAACTCAACCCGCTCCCCTCCAAGGGGCCTGGCGAGGACAGCCAGGTGCGAGGGCAGGAGACTCTGCCTCAGTACGTACATCTGAGACTATTCTTAGTGGTAGGCATGTGTCAGATTTGGGTCATTTCTTTTTGCTTGGTGTTTATTGTAACTGCATTAGGTACTGAAATTGTGTGCAACTAATTTAGAAGCGTGTTGTTCAAAAGACAAATTGGTAAATAGAGCAAGTAATTATTTGATGCATAATTGAATTCAAAAACGCTTACTGGTGTTGCCCATGTCAGACTGAAAAGGAGCAGTCCCAAACAGACAGCTTGCATCTTTAAGAAGCTCTGTAAAAAACAAAAACAAAAAACACATTACTGCAAAAACTGCCAATTGTGAACTACAGTCTAAATAAAACATGAAGAACTATACAAACATTTCCCCCCCCATCAAGAAACCCACTGTTTTTATTTTAAAAATTAGGTGAAGTCTATTTGTAGCCAAGTCCATTTATAGCCTACAAATCTATGTAATGTAGGTTTCACGAATACTTATTCATAAGTGTGCTATGCTGGTGTGAAAATGAAAATCATTTAGTATCATTAAAACAATGATAGACATAAATAATTTATTTCTACTAATTTGATAGG